TCCTTACTTGTTATATTGACAGTGATTTTCTCCGACACAATTAGGCATTTCTTATCAACATGTTAATTGTTATGCGCCATAAAAGTCTTTGACCCAGATATCAGCCTGCTTTTCATTTTGGATTTCTTTCCATAGCCTTTGTCCAACCAAGTACAAACTACAAGGCAGTTAGTTTTATTTTGGAGTTGTCTCTCCTAGACGGATATTTAGTCCAAATTCAACGAGTATCATTTGCCTGGGGAACCGAAATCAGGACTTTCGGAGTTAGCAATCGTGTATTTTCACTCCCCACCCCACCACCCCTCCCCGGTCTGTTGACCGTCTGATCTAAAAGGGCACCCCAACTATTATAAACCTAGACATTGCATACAAATCCTGTTCAAAGTACACAACTATTGAGCGGGAAACAACGCGTCAAGGGGAGGTAAAGCCTGGCTCTGGATTACGTAATGAATTCTTCCCTCAAACAAAACGGCGCCTTTAATTCAACATTGTACAGCGCCACTTCGAGTCCGCCACGAAAGTTGTGCGAAGAGTCCCCAGCTATTTCACTACTTGAGATTAAACAGTGTACACAACTGATGTGCGAACAGCTGTACGTGGAGACGAGGCTTTGTTGTCGTTGTCATGGAGATGACTTCCTGTGTGACTTGTGTCAAGTGTCGAAAGTTGATGTGTTCGTGTGCGGGTGTTATCGCATCAGGAAACTCTGATCCGTGTGGGGGTTAGGTGTGGGGGTAGGGTGAGGTGTGGGGGGTAGGGTGAGGTGTGGGGGTAGGGTGGTTGTAGTGTGGGGGGTAGGGTGAGGTGTGGGGTGGGGTGGTTTAGGTGTGGGTGGTGGGTCGGTGGTTTTAGGTGTGGGGTGGCGGGTGGTTGTGGGGGTATGGTGAGGTGTGGGGGGTAGGGTGAGGTGTGGGGTGGTGGGTGGTTTAAGGTGTGGGGGGTAGGGTGAGGTGTGGGGTGGGGTGGTGGGTGGTTTTAGGTGTGGGGGGTAGGGTGAGGTGTGAGGTGGGGTGGTTTTAGGTGTGGGGTGGCGGGTGGTTGTAGTGGTTGCAATGACGTGTTCAAACATTGCTCAACAGTAATTGTAGTAAGTTGGTGTTAATTGTGGCGCAAGAATAAGCGAGGTTATAATCGGTGAAAGGGGGGGGGGGGGAGGTACAATAACTAACAATAAAATAGATCGTTATTTATTATATTACTATCGTTTAGCTAATGCTTACAAGTGGGTTAAATTTCGACTGATTCTTTCAATGTTGAATCACTCTAGAAGAGACCTACCTTCAGTATCCGATAAAGAGTACATAATTTCTATTTGTGTTCAAAAACTGATCTCTAAATCAAAACTATATACTAGATATGATTCCATTAGGTTTATAAATAAGCATTTTGGCTAATCGAGTATTCATCATCCGCCCATAAAGGGTAACTGTTGCTGCACTTTGCTTGTGTATATCAAGGACAACGGTAAAAAAAATAACCTGTTTATTTATGGTGACGCTAAATAGGCCGCAAAGAGTCCGACCCCCCCCCCCCCCCCCCTTACAGGCTCCGCTCTAACAAATACACATCTGTCTCTCAGACAAGAGCAACGTCTTAACCGTCTGCCTATCGTTTGATTGGAATGCCTGGTATGACTTCCGGCTCGCTGGGGACTGGGAGACAAAGAAACACCCACGGGGTGATTGTCGTCCGTCGAAATTTTAACGTGCGATTCGTCTGTTTTAGCCGTCCTGTAAACAGCGTCATTTGTTGTTGTTTTCATTTTGTTGTGGCGGGTCGCAAACGATTACTGCTCACAAGCTAATGTAAACATAAACAACCAAGGGCGAGCAATCTTACGTGAATACATTTACAGCTCGTTCGGTTGGTTTATAGTAAACCAGAGTTGCACACTTTAATTAGGACTACTTATTATATTGTACTTCATTCAACTAATTAATAGGTTTAGAGGCAAAAGTAAATAACCTACTTACTTGCCGTATAGTTTGATATTTTCTAGCTGCATGTAAATATATATATATATATATATATATATATATATATATATATATATATATATATATATATATATATATATAATATATATATATATATATATATATATATATATATATATATATATATATATATATATATATATATATATAATATATATATATATATATATATAATATATATATATATATATATATATATATATATATATATATATATATATATATAATACGGGAGCGTATTTTTAAAGAAAGGTTTTTACTAAAGTACATACTAACATTCGTCTTTAAAAAAATAATACTTTAATCACCCCCAGGAAGTGACGTAGTGTCTTTGTTTCGTGGGAATGTGATATTCACTTCGTGCTTTAGTATTTCCGAGTCTTCATTATGCCCTAACTCGCACAAAGCCCGCGTTAATCCGCCAATTGAAAAAACCCAGGGGAAAACTGTGTAGCCTCCTTCAAGCAACAGCAGGACCGGCCTGTGTTATTTTAATCCGATATGCGGAATGTCAAAGAAATATGACCGAAATTCCTGGAGAATTTTTTTTCCGGCGCTAGTTAAACGTGATGGACTAGACTGGACACGAGAGATTAATATTTCATGTCCGGTCATGAAGGACAGGCGTGCTGAGGTGCGCGCGTGTTGGTTTAGTCGGTGTGGCGGTAACTGGACCGTTACCATTCTAGCCGTCTGCGGAAAACGAAAGCGGAGCGTGGATCTTAAAACTTTGAGAGTGAAATTGTGGATGTTTTGTTTCGCGTGCTTTGTGACATTTTTTTCTCGAGTTGTTTTCTTTCTAAAACAACTGTAAGTAATCAACTGTTTTTTTTAAAAATGTGTCTTTAAATGTTGAAAGAACGTGTTTTTTCCCCCATAATTTGAGTCTGCGAAATTGTTAATATAATTGAAATATTCAGAAAAATAGTGGGTTTTTTTCAAGTTATTAGTTAGTAATAACTTAAATTAGTTAATCTACTTATACTACTAGATCTATTTCCTATTCATGCCAATACTCTAGTCCTAACCATAATTAAGCGTTTATCAAAGTCACTGCCCTTCCCAGCATCCCGCCCAGCCCCCCCCCCCCCCCCCCCCCCTTCTCGCTACGGTGGCCACATTCTTGCAGTTGTTGTTAAGAGACAAGACGTCACTTACAGAAGACAGAAGGGCGATGGATTAATTCACGTCCAACCTTGACCTTCGCTGGGAATGATTAGATATCTGGCATAGCTTTCTAGGGCACGTCACACAACAAGATGTCAATAGGCCACCTCACCCCCCCCCCCCCCCCAACCTCCCCATCTCCACTACCAATCTTTTTAAAGAATTACATTCTAATCAAACTTAGGGCACACTCATGACGTGAAAGATTCTGGCTATATATTCCCCTACCAATGTTGATCGAAATGGTATATTTATAAACTGCTGGGTTTTTTTTCTACTTCTTCGAAAAGTTTTGATTAATTCCTTAAATGATCGTGATATTTTTAATTTCATCGAATAGCTTGTTCTTCGGGAATTCCCTTTAATTAAAAATGAGTTCCTTGCTTGGTCGAAGCAACTAATAAATACAACGTGTGTGTTTGTGTTTATGTGTGTTCATATATGCAGTTAATATATCCTAGCTTACAAAATGTCACCCCAAAGAAATGTCTCAAAATTGTAATCAAGCTCTCTTTAACAGCGCGCCAATTTATTTGAATATAATTTACACATTGTCTATTTGAATGGAAACATGCACTAATATCTCCCTTAGCTTTGGCCTTTCGTTCCATTCCCGTGTTAGTTTAAGTCGAGAGAGGGGAAAAAATCTGGCAAACTTGTGTAGCGTTTACCAGGTGTGGCGGGCGTCCGGCGACGGTTGACAAATGGCTGGGGGGCACGTGACGCCCGTAGAAAAATATAACGAGCCCCTGACAGAGTGATAGATCGCCCAGTGAGGACGTAGCTACTGTGGATTGGGTGGGATTAGAACCCAGATTAGCTGCTCAAATATGGCGGGTTTAGCAATATACAGTTTGACGTGGGGGGGGGGGGGGGGGGAGCTAGACGTTGTTTTAAACGTTGACCGTTGGACCTTTGCAAATATCTTGGCATGGAAGCTATTAGTGACAGGTGGGTGTGTACCTCCCCCCCCCCCAATTCCCTAAATGACATTTGTATTACGTTGTTGTAACTATTGGTCGTTATATATATATATATATATATATATATATATATATATATATATATATATATATATATATATATATATATATATATATATATATATATATATATATATATATATGTGTGTGTGTGTGTGTGTGTGCGCGCTTGTGTGAGACGTGTCCTGTAAACTACATAGCGATTGGTCTAGATGTGACCCGTTAACTCAACTTACTCGTGGAATAGCCAGGCATCGACTGAGCATCTGCCTGCACAAACTAGCTGCTGTACATAAAACCCTAACAACTCAGGTAAAGGCAGATGAGGCATATGCTATACCATGATATTTTTTTTTTAAAGTAAATTGAAAAAAAGTTACAGAAAGTGATGTTTTGCCAAATTACGTCCATAGATCTAGATCTATATGTGCCACATAGCCCCGTAAACTTTTTTTACACTAGGGAGTGAGTTTCGAGTCACCAATCATCGTCCTGCTAGTACACATTTATTTAATCAATTTCACCTTTGTGTCTCCTATAGTACAGTTTGGTGTGTTTTTTATTAACTTGTTGCGTGCTCTACTCCACGATATGTACGCTTAATCTGTGTTGTATTTTTTTTTACTAGTAGCGCAGTAAGGCTTTATAGCATTTGATGCACTTAATTCATTGGATAGTGAAATTAAACAAAAACACTTTCTATATTGTTCTGAAGCTCTTGCTTATAATACAAGAGTTTCGATAGAAATGCATTTATAGCTAGCATGCGATGTCAAAATAAAGTACTTATATGTCCTATATTTAATTCCTTGTATATGACACTAAATAGTATTTTCCTCTCGTATTTTAGGTAAAGCCAAAGAGAAAACAGACGGCACAGAAGGTGAGTCCAATTTTCTTTGTTGAAGTGTTAAATATAGCCTATTGTACTATACACAATTTATATGTGGTTTGCTAGACAAGAATCATAGGCCATAGTCACAGAAACATGTGAACTCTACTTGCTCTGTCCGTCTGGTCTAAAAGGATAATTTTTTTCTTTACAAACGTCCCTGAGTCCAATCAGCTCTATTGGGTACCTGACTCTCGTTAGTTAATAATGCGGCTGGGCTTAGGTTTGACCACACTATGTATCGCCCTAAGTTGAAGGGAGAATATTTACACCGGTGTCCGTTTTAAAAAAGGGGTGTTAGGTTACTGGTAGTTAACTAAATAAAAACTTGGCTAACTATTGTCAATGCTAACCCTAACCCCAACCCTGGTCCTACCATATGTCTAACCCTAAGTTCTAACCATAAAATTAGTCGAGATTACAATACTACTAACAACCCAACACACCTATTTTATGGAAGAGTCTATTATCGGACACCGGTATCTATAATCATCCGTTGGGACATTATCAACTTCTACAAACCCACAGATAAAGCAACTTCCGCAAAAAAGAAGTCTCAGAAAGTGCCAGAAAAACCGGAAGTAGCCCCAGAGCTGGTGGTCAAGCCCAGGAGACAGTTCACCGACGACGGGGCCACCGCCAAGTTCAAGGCCAGCTTCGACGGGTCAACGAGTACAATTCTGTTTTGGAGCAAGGATGGGGTCGTGCTGATCTCGGATGAGCACTTTAAGGTCAGCGTGAGCAATGGCATGCACGTGTTGAGATAGCAGTTTGTGAGAGAGTGTTAAGACAGCAGTTTGTGAGAGAGTGTTAAGACAGCAGTTTGTGAGAGAGTGAGTTGTGGCATGTCGTGTTGAGATAGCAGTTTGTGAGAGAGTGAGTTGTGGCATGCTCGTGTTGAGAGAGTGAGTTATGGCATGCTCGTGTTGAGGCAGCAGTTTGTGAGGGAGTGAGTTGTGGCATGCTCGTGTTGAGACAGCAGTTTATGTGAGGTCGAGTGGGCGTTGGCTACTCACGGATTTCTATATATAGCTCTAAGATGTAAGTGTATGACGGTTGAAACAAGCGGCTGAGTAATCAGTCTTAAGGAAGTTGGGTTTTTGTTAATAAAAAAAAACATTATGTAAAAATAACAGAGAAAAATATATACAAGATGTTATTGTAACCACACACGGACTTATTTTTTATTGTTCAAGAAGAAAACGGAACTTTTTTTTTTATGTTTCGGCAATCGGTCTTCGCCCGAACTGTCAAAAAAAGAAAATAGAACGCAATTTTTTAAACCCAAAGGACGTCTAATAATAAAAAAAAAAGTGTGTACTCATTAAAAATATTGGAAGATGTTCTAAAATTATTGGAATGTTGAGTGATGTATGTGATGACTAAAGCAGTAACATTTTATATAGCCTACTCTTTATTTTTTTTTTTAAATATTGTACTTTGAGCCTACTGTTAATTTTTTTTTTTAACATTGGAGGATATAAAATTATTGGACTGTTGTATAATGTATGCGCCGATTATAAATCTTGTAAAAATAATGTATCGTAGGACATACACATACAGCAATAATGTCCCTTTGTAAAACTTGGTTAAAAATTACCTGCAATAAATGCAAAAAGTAAAAAAAAAAAACACCATCAAATGACCCCCCCCCCCCATGTCACGTGTATTTAAAAAAAAAAGTTAACCTTTAACGACAACGTTAGCTTGACAGTAGCAGCTTCCTGTTTGGTCACTGACTGAGCCGTCGTTTGTTTACTCTTCCATCCCCCCCCCCCCACCTCCCCGCTCCGTGTGGGGTTGGCTGCGCAACTCGCCCCTGCTCACACTAAACTCTCCAAACCAAACAGGCTTTTCGCAAAATAACATTAGGAGCTCGTGGGAATTTCCGTTCGTTTGTCCATTCATAGTTTCTCTAAATAGGCGGTAATGTAGCTAAATGATGAGAAATTCATACTAGACAGTCTTTTGAATAAAATGTATTACTAATGGTCTATTATTATTTTTAGACACCGAGGTGCAGTGGGTATGACTTATGTTTTAAATTAGGAGTCATCACGCTTCTACGGGGGGGGGGGGGGGCGTGGAAGGTGTAGGCTCACTTTCGATTACATTTAAATTCCTGAATTAAAAGAGTTCATTGTTCAGCCTAACTGGTTTAAGTTCAAAGCACTCTCAATGAATTACGCGGTGTTTCTATTTTTAGACAGTAGTTTAAGAGATAATGTTTTTTTCCGGTTTTAACCAAAGTCCTATAAAATCAAAATATTGTACATCTAGCTCTAGTTTATTATGACAAATGAAAGAACATTATTTCATAGCTAAGAATAAAACTATAGTTAGTCTATTCTGCAAATGGATCTGTCAATCTAGTTTAGTCAACATTTCTGTCAAACTTTCAGATTTACGAGGCCGGCGGATTCCATTATCTAGAGGTCGTACACGTCACAGCAGACGACACAGGGATCTACGCGGTCACGGTGCAGAACTCAGCAGGCTCGGACACTGCTTCTGCCGAGTTGGAAGTCTTTGGTAAGTCTGGCTCACTCTGTCACTCCAGTCTTCTTGGTCACTCTATTCACTCTGGCCACCCTGGTCACTCTGGTCACTCTATTCACTCTGGCCACCCTGGTCACTCTGGCCACCCTGGTCACTCTATTCACTCTGGTCACCCTGGTCACTCTGGCCACCCTGGTCACTCTATTCACTCTGGTCACCCTGGTCACTCTGGCCACCCTGGTCACTCTATTCACTCTGGTCACCCTGGTCACTCTGGCCACCCTGGTCACTCTATTCACTCTGGTCACCCTGGTCACTCTGGCCACCCTGGTCACTCTATTCACTCTGGTCACCCTGGTCACTCTGGCCACCCTGGTCACTCTATTCACTCTGGTCACCCTGGTCACTCTGGCCACCCTGGTCACTCTGGTCACTCTATTCACTCTGGCCACCCTGGTCACTCTGGCCACCCTGGTCACTCTGGCCACCCTGGTCACTCTATTCACTCTGGTCACCCTGGTCACTCTGGCCACCCTGGTCACTCTGGCCATCCTGGTCACTCTATTCACTCTGGCCACTAAGTTCACTCTAGTCACCCTGGTCACTCTAGTCACCCCGGTCAATCTAGTCACCCTGGTCACTCTATTCACTCTGGCCACTATGTTCACTCTAGTCACCCTGGTCACTCTAGTCACCCTGGTCAATCTAGTCACCCTGGTCACTCTATTCACTCTGGCCACTCTGGTCACTCTATTCACTCTGGCCATCCTGGTCACTCTATTCACTCTGGCCACTATGTTCACTCTAGTCACCCTGGTCACTCTAGTCACCCTGGTCAATCTAGTCACCCTGGTCAATCTAGTCACCCTGGTCACTCTATTCACTCTGGTCACTCTATTCACTCTGGTCATTCTATTCACCCTGGTCACTCTATTCACCCTGGTCACTCTATTCACCCTGGTCACTCTATTCACCCTGGTCATTCTATTCACCCTGGTCACTCTATTCACCCTGGTCACTCTATTCACCCTGGTCACTCTATTCACTCTGGTCATTCTATTCACCCTGGTCACTCTATTCACTCTATTCACCCTGGCCACTCTATTCACCCTGGTCACTCTATTCACCCTGGTCACTCTATTCACCCTGGTCACTCTATTCACTCTGGTCATTCTATTCACCCTGGTCACTCTATTCACCCTGGTCACTCTATTCACTCTGGTCATTCTATTCACCCTGGTCACTCTATTCACCCTGGTCACTCTATTCACCCTGGTCACTCTATTCACCCTGGTCACTCTATTCACCCTGGTCACTCTATTCACTCTGGTCACCATGTTCACTCTGATAATTTTGGTCATTCTGATCACTCCGTCACTTTTTTCACCCTGGTCACTCCAGCCACTGGTCACTCTGGTCACTCCAGTCAGCCTGGACACTCCAGTGGCCTTTGACTGTTGTAGGCCTATGATGTGGATCTATGTAATATTTAGGCCATTGTACACCCATTGATTATAATCTTGCAATGCATATAGGAAACACTCAGGACACAGCCTAATATTAATATTTGAAAAAAAAAAACTTTAACAAGTTAGACCTAGATCTAGGTCTACTACTCTGAAATGTTGATCAATACTTCAATACTCTTACTAAATCTATGGTCTACAAGTTTTAATTTTTATTCATATTTATAGACTACTAGACATATCTAATCTAGACTATTAGTTAGAATCAAACTAGTACTAAATCTAGGCTTAAAGTCTAGTCTAACTGACTGCTAACAACCTTAATGTGAACAAAGGTAGTTTAGGAAGCCGTCAGGGTTTAGAGTGTAGTACTCTATGTTGATCTAAATGCACCCTCTATTTGTTTATTTAAATGTAAAGAAAAATGTTTCTAAGTATGTGTAGATTCTTCTTCTATTTGCTGCTTCCTCAAGATATCTAGGTCTTGACATTATTTTCTATCTATTAATTTCTACTGCACTGTTGTCAATTCCTCATAGCCCATCTACTGTACTGTTAATAAAGTTATCAATTCCTTGTAGCCCATCTACTGTACTGTTATCGGCTACAGGACATTACCCCCCTGGAAATTACCCCCCGGACATTCCCCCCGCCCCGGATTTCCCCCCCCCCCCCCGGAGCAATTACCCCCCCCCCCCCCAAGTTAGAATCCTAACTCTAACTAGAATTCTATACCTATATACTACTTTAATCCAAACCTTAAGAAAAAGACCAAAACCTAAACATCCACCTTAGCCTAAAACTTCACACAAAACCAAAACCAACACTAGACATTGGTTTAAACTTAACCCTAACCCTAGCTCTAACCCTAGCCCTAACCCTAGCCCTAGTCCTAAACCTAGCCCTAACTCTAACCCTAACCCTAGCCCTAGTCCTAAACCTAGCCCTAACCCTAACCCTAGCCCCAAAACCTAGCCCTAACCCTAGCCCTAGCCCTAACCCTGTCCGGGGGGGGGGGGTAATTGACAGGGGGCTAATTACTCCGGGGGGGGGGGGGGGAATGTCCGGGGGGTAATTGACAGGGGGGGGGGATATGCCCTGTTCCCACTGTTATCAATTCCTCATAGCCCATCTACCGTACTGTAAATGTATGAAATTCCAATGTTGTTATTTCCAGTGAAGCCAAAACTTCTGTCTAAATCTGGACCAGAATGGGAGCAGCCATTGAAAGATTTAGTGGTGCCAGAAGATGAAGAGAATGTGGAGCTGAAATGTGTTGCTAAAGGTAGGACAATTTTTAGGAACTCTGTTGATTTGAGAATTTGGAAGCTGAAATGTGTTGCTAAAGGTAGGAAAGTTTTTAGGAACTCTGTTGATTTGAGAATTTGGAAACTGAAATGTGTTGCTAAAGGTAGGAAAATTTTTAGGAACTCTGTTGATTTGAGAATTTGGAAGCTGAAATGTGTTGCTAAAGGTAGGAAAGTTTTTAGGAACTCTGTTGATTTGAGAATTTGGAAGCTGAAATGTGTTGCTAAAGGTAGGAAAGTTTTTAGGAACTCTGTGGATATGAGAATAAAAGTGTTGTTAGTTAATTAATAAGTCATATCTGTAATACTGTGAATATGCTGGGAAAATTAAAATTAGTTAAATGAATGATAAGTGTTAAATATATCACATTTATATAAGACTTCATTAAACATATAGGAAATAATGTATAGGCTCAGTTGTATGCTCAGTTGGCGCAAAAATGAATTTAAAAATATTATTTCCTACTAGACAATGTGTTAAACTATGATTTTTATTACAGGGGTAATTATTCATCACTTATTAGTACTTTTATTAGTTGATCCCTTACAAGGAAAGCTTTTTTGCTGTTGTTGCTTACATTAAGAAACAAAATCCCATTCATTCATAAAGTATGTTAATTACCTATTTACCACTGTATTGAAAATATACAATAGACTCATCCAGATTTAAAATTATTATGAAATTGGGTATATATGTATAATTTTTTTAGGCAGTATTGTGAAATTAAAGAAAGTGATACTTAAAATGAAATATAGACTGTTTTTTAGTTAACCTTTTCTTCTTATAACTTATAGAAAAAAAATTGCTTTAACATATCCATATTTTCCGTTAGATATAAACTGTTTAACTTATTACACCCTTTTTCTACAGATATCACAAAACCTACTAGCAAATGGTTCCACAATGGCCAAGAAATATTTTCAGGGTTCCGTATGAAACTGTCCCATGAAGCACAGACTAGCACGCTGAGCATTAAGAAGATCCGCAGGACTGACGCAGGAGAGTTTAAGTGCATAATGGCAGGAAGTAACGGAGAACTAGAGACCTCGTGTCATTTAAAAGTTGGAGGCATGTGCTTTGGATTAGTATTAAACATTTGAAATAATTTTTTTATATCTCTTTGGAAAATAAATTAAACGTCCACACGCCAAGCCAAATAATAATCAAAGTGAAATGAAAAATTTTAATTTAATTTTTTTACTATTTGCTTGTGTAAAAAGTTGATACACGTTAGACTCTAATATACATTACATTATATATTCAAAATTAAATTATAGAAATTTTTAAAATTATTTAAATAAATTTTTAAGAACTTTACCTATCTAACTACCGGCTAATTTTTAATTGTTTCGACAAATTATTTTCCATGTTATATAGAAGACGAGGAACTGGAAGCTCCAGTATTTGTGAAAGAATTAGAAGACATAGAGGTAGAGGAGGGAGCTAAGTTGGAGCTGGGAGTTGAGGTCACAGGTGAGATTTGTTTACCTGGGCTGTAGCATCGTTAGACTCACTAGTTGATTGCATTTTTGTTAATTACATTTTAACCAATGTATCTGCACAAGTTTTTTTAATTAACTGCATTTATTAAAAATACATCTGAATGGGTGCATTGTGTATTGTTTTGGTAGGTTTTATTTACTAATATAAAATTTAATGAAATAAAACTTAATGAAATAAAAGCTACACATAGTGCAAGAAGATTTGTTAAATTTTTGTAGTTCCTAAATATTTTTTTAAAAGATAATAAAATCTAGATGTCTAATTGGGAGTAGATAATTTTAAAAATAAAAATTATTTTAAATATTTTAAAAGTATTTTGATTTTAAAACCTCAGATTTAAACATTTGTACCAATGTTTAATTAACTACAGATAAGATAGGGGTCTCCAAACTTTTCAGTACGAGGGCCGCATTAACTATAAATTTTCAGTTCGGGGGCCAGTTTCTTCCAGACATGTCTTTGATTTTTCTGGGCAAAGTTCCTCAGCCATCAGCAACAAACGATTTTTCCTTGGACAAAAAGATCTCCGCGGGCCGGATGAGAGGACCTCGCGGGCCGCATCCTGCCCGCGGGCCGTAGTTTGGAGACCCCTGAGATAAGATATTAAAAAAAGATCATCTTTACTAGATTGTAATAGTTTTTTTAAAAAATATTTTTCTTTAGAAAATTGGTTTTATTGAAAACAATATCACATTCAACTATTTTAGTGGCTTATTTTATTTTTTTAAAATTAATGGCTCATTATAAAAATTCTTGCTAGCACAGTTTTAATGCTTTATCATGTATGCTTAATAATATCATTTATTTTTAGTTGTGATATATATGCCTTTATAATTTTATTTTAATATGTAGTATTTAACTGGTTTAACTTTGACTCAAAGTATTGCAGAAAAAGTGTTTCATTTTTGCCTTTATTTTAAAAATTAATATTTTTTAAAAACAATTTCATTAGGCCTATTTGTTAAATTTTAAAACCTTTAAAATTAAATGGAAACATGTTGCTAACTGTTTTTAAATTAAATAACATACCATACAAAAGAAAACATTTTAAAGAACATATTTTTTTTTAATGAAAAGCTTTATATTTCTAATTTCATTAAAAATGGAAAAAAAAAACAACTCAGTAAAAAAAATACAGTAAAAATTATATTAAACAAACAGAATTACTACAAAATGTTTCAACAATTTATTTTCTCAAAAACTTCTCAACTGCAATACTTTTTACAAATAATATTTAACCAAGCTTGAAAACAGCACTTTGTTTCGAAAGGCCCACAACTCATATAAAATAGCATGCGTGTGTGATTACCTCCCTCTACACAGGCGAACCGCCAATCGAGGTGTTCTGGTACCACAATGATGTGGAAATAACTGAGGACAGCCCACATTTCTTGCTGGCGTCAGTGGGTACCCTTCACACCCTAACTCTGTCCTGTGTTACCTTGGACCATGCTGGAGAGTTTGTGTGTGAGGCTTATAATAATTATGGCGATACTGACACCTTTTGTCTAGTAGATGTGAAAGGTATACCTCTACATCTTTCTACTGTAAACAGGGCTTCTCAAACTTATTCACCTTGTACCCCTTGATTACATGATTATTTAATTAGTTTGAACAATTATGTTTCTCGATTTAGTTTTCTAATCTGGGGTTAGGGACACAGTTTAAGAAACCCTGTTATGCAGCCTAGTTATTTAGCTTGATTTTTAATACACATTTAAAAAAAAAACACGCTTTAATTTTTTTTGCAAAAAGTATTTTTTTATATATTTGCTTTTAAAATACTTTTCTTAAACTATTCACACTGAAATTATTTTGCTATACATAATATTAGAGGCTAATACTTAATAATTTAATATGTAGTAGCTTTTTATATTATAATTATAATTACTAGCTACTTGTTAGAATTAGTGTTCTAATGCGTAAAGTTTTATGAATAATTTGAAATCAATTTCAGCTTAATTTATCTTGTTGTAACTTACCTTTTAGTGATCTGATACAGTAGGCCAAGAAAGACATCTTGTCTCCCCCTCTCCTATCAAAAACTAATATTTTTGTTTGTTTCAGGCATGAACCTAGTTGTCTTTTTTTAAATTATCAAAGGAATGTGATTTTTAACAGTCCCTTGTTTTACTTGCAAGATGTTTTAGCTGTTTGTGTAGTGGGATGATAACATGCATGTTTGAAAATTGTAGATCTAATAAAATATTGCTTCATTGAATGACAGCTAAAATTTAATTCAGTACATACTAGATGAAGTTACCAATAATAAGTTAATATAACTATCAATTTTTGATTCAGGAAAAATGAAATTTAAATAAACTTGCATGCATTGAATTTGAAACTTGAAACAGCAAGAAGTATAATGTAATGCAAGTATTGCAAATACATTTTGAGTTTTAAAATTAGTTAACATAATTAGGGCAGGTTTTTGTAGAAAGTTAATTAAATGTTGATAATTAAAAAAATATTTGAAATATTTGATTAATATTGGATGTGTTTCTTCAACAGAATCCAGACCAGACCTTCTCCCAAAACTTGCCAGACTATAAACTTGGCCCACCATTCATTCATTCCTTCCTTCATTCGTTTATTTTTGTTCCTCCACTTTTTTATGTTGGATTTTGTTTTGTTTTGTTTATTAGCCTAACCCCAATCCATTTGTCATTCAATTTTTTTACAATGGTCTATTGTTTAAGTTGTAGTGTTTAAAAAAATACTACGTAGTTGTAGAAAACAAGGACATGCGTTTTTTAATTATTATTTTGCATGTGCCATTTATATCCTATAACTATATTGCACTCTTTCAATCATATTTCCAACAAAGTTTTATTTAATTTTAATGTTTTAACTTTACAGACATTTTACAAACTACCTTTTTTGTGATACATATATTAAATAATTTATCCTTTCCATGTTTTTTACAAAATAAGTACCTGTGTGCTTGTCCAATCCAGCTTTAGTTTGGATCCAGTCCACCTTTAATTTGGCTTGTTAAATGTCATTGATTGAGTTTTACACATCCTGAAGATTGTTTTATTTTGCATGTGTTTATGTTTTTGTTTTACCCATCATTTGCATGCAGAAGTAGAACACCCAGAAGCCCCAGATTTCATAACCCAACCCATACCTTCACTCACCTCACAAGAGGGGAAAACTGTGACCTTCACTTGCCATGTCAAAGGTCAACCTCAACCCCAGGTCATATGGGAAAAGGGAGGTGTGGCCATAGCATCTAGCCAAAAATATAAAGTAAGTTGATATGACTAAATATAAGTCTCTCTTTTTAGTGATGTAAGTGTGTAAATAGTGGGTAGACTTCAGTCTTTGGTTCAAGTGATAGAACACTTGATTCCTAACAGTTTGAAGTCAGTTTTAATTCCATGATACATCCAGTTCTGATCGATATTTGATATCATATGCAGAGATACTATGGAACATCAAGTTTTGAAGGGGACTTAACTGATTTTTGGTCTCATACTGGGTTACCAAGTAGAAACTTTTAGCCAAGATAGTGGTACAAAAAATTTCTTTTAGCCAAGTAGTCTGTTGTTGGTACAGAAATTTTAGCCAAGTAGTCTGTCACTGGTACAAAAATTTTAGCCCTGTATTCTGAAAGTGGTACAAAAATTTTCTTTTAGCCAATGAGTCTGACACTGGTACAAAAATTTTCTTTTAGCCAATGAGTCTGACACTGGTACAAACATTTTCTTTTAGCCCTGTAGTCTGAAAGTGGTACAAAAATTTTCTTTTAGCCCTGTAGTTTGGCGGTGGTACAAAATTTTTTAACTCGTTGACAGCTGACTCAGATCCAGGACAAGCACAGTTTGTTTATATACGATGTTGACCAGTCTGATACGGGGGAGTACACCTGTCACCTGCAAAACAGCGTAGGTAAAACATCCTCCACCTGCACTCTACACCTGGCAGATGATGAAACCAGGGGCACAGACGAGGTCAAGGCTGCTTTAAAAATGAGGTTGGTTATTAGAATCTTTTTTTTTTAAACTTTGTCTATTTTGTAAATTTGAATAACTTTTAGATCAACTTTTTAGATAGTTGAAAGTGAAAAAATTAGTCTAGGTTAACTATTGAAAATTGGAGTATGAACTTTTAAAATATTTTATGTTAATTATTTAGTTTTACAAATTTTAGAGTTTTCTATGTGTACAATTTATTTAATCTGAAAGTTATACTGTGTTTACACTGGCAACATGTATACTATACATGTCTAGGAGAAAAACTGGCAGCAAGTTAATGTCATGTGAAAACATTTTTTTTCCGTGGAACATGTATACAAACTTGCTGTAATTTTTTTTTCTAGATGAGTAGGCCTATAGTATACATATGGCAAGTGTAAACATGGTGTTACATTGATGACATGAATGATTTGACAAGTTTTTAACCATTTTTTTTTTTCTGTTAGGCTGAGCAAGCTCAGAGAACTACACTCTGAAACTGAGTACCCAGCTACGGTTGGTGAGCCAAGGTCTCATGTGAGTGCACACACCCTCCCCCCTGACACTGAGCACCCAGCTGCACCCATTGAGCTGAGACCCCATTCAGGTGCACACAAGGACCCCAAACCACCTGTGCCTGCCCCTAGGACTAAAACTCTACAAGACTACAAGGCCACAGTTGCAGCAAAGTCTGCAGGCGTCAATACTTACAACACAGAGGACAGTAACCCAGTGGCTAATAACAGAGCAACTGACTATGCTAAAATCAAACCAACAGACAATGATAAAATCAAATCAACAGACAGTAATAATATCAAACCAACAGGCAATGATAAAATCAAACCAGCAGACAATGATAAAATCAAACCAACACATAATGCTAAAATCAAATCAATAGACAATGATAAAATCAAACCAGCAGGCAATGATAAAATCAAACCAACAAATAATGCTAAAATCAAATCAACAGACTATGATAAAATCAAATCAACTGGGTATTCAAAAGAGAATTCCCCTTCTCATCCTAACCAGCCTAATGAACCCATATCTGACTTTAGATCTGTTCTACACAAAAAATCTAAAACCCAAACGGGGGAGAAGTTAAAGAAGGATTTACCCAAGAATGAAGAACCTATAACTGATTTTAGAAGTCTTTTAAAATCTAAACCTAGAGAGTCTATTGTTCCGGAAAATTCTGGAACCAAGCAGAAGGAGATAGATTTTCGTGAAGTTCTCTCTAAAAGTAAGGATAAAAATGTGAAAAGTATTTCCAAGGAAACAGATTCTGTGAAAACCATTCCAAATTTAGCAGGCCCTGTTGACATAGTGCTATCTCACAGTGACAAATCTACAATTGTGTTTTCAAATCCTGAGCCTTTAACTGTCCATCAAAATAACTTACACTCTAGTGAGATAACATCCCATAGAAAAGGTGGCGTGGATGTTGGGAATGTGTCTGACCAACCAAAACCTTCTACAGACCCAGTTTTTGTGGCAACTCCCATCATTCTCAGAGCTAATGAGCTCAGTGTTCAACCTCCTTCATCATCAGCTCACCTCACATCTAAAGATTTAGACGCGGTTAACGGTTACGATGAAGGTGACAACCACAGTTTCGAGCAGGATAAAGCCAATGAAAAGTTCACCACTACGATGAGCCTGGTCATATCCCCAACAGCTGTTTCTGTCAAACAGGACAACAGCGGTGGTTACACAGCCGTCCCCATCCAGTTCCACGCTGCAGGTGTTCACAGTTCCACCCCACCCGGTGCTTATCCCAACACAACAGAAAAGTCTTTCAGTCTTCCACTTAGCTCCCCAGTGAACATGGTGCTTGTCAGCTCAACAGACCCAGAGTCCAAAAGATTAATGTCAGTCCACATAAATAGCTCAAAAGATGACCAATTCTCTTACAATGTACCTGAAATTAAAGAAACCCATTCCTTACACGTTGAAACAAATCCTGGTGTTAATAGTATAAATCTCGCTAAAGTTAATCTTGTAGAAAAAGCTGAAGATATTTCCTCTCAGACCAACTCTAAGAGTCTGAACACAGATCCATCTGAAGAAACAAGCACGCGGAGAATAAGTTACATTGAATTTCTACCCAGTGCCCACACCAAACTGCTGACATCTGAATCCATCTCACCAAATATGCCCAAATCTGCCACTCTGCCTAGGTCATTCTCCCTACACACTGACCACCCCTTCTCGCTAGACGGTTCATCACTTGGTTGTGAAACGAACACAGAAGACTGTGATGTTTTCTCTGAAGATTCCGATGATTTGTCCTCGTCCATCTCCGATACATTATCCTATCAAGATTTCGGCAACAGTTCTTTAAAAAACCTGAGGTCTACTACCACTGAAGCTGGTTTTTCAATGGATAGACCATTAAGTTCTACTATACCACAAACCTATACAAATGGTGCAAAGAAATCCTCAGATTCTAGAACTTCTGTACAGTTTGTTTCAACAGAAAAGGATGAAAATTCCAATACCAAATCCTCCACGTTTAAGCTAAACTCAAACAGGTCGAAGTCCACATCGTTTAAGCCAGACTTAGAATGTGATTCTGATGATTTCCGTGCGGTTAAGCTTAGGTCATCAGGTACAAAACCTGCAGTAAACTCCCAATTCAGGTCTAGCAAAAACCTGTCTCAGTCCACGGAGAATTTGTTTACACATGTCAGACTCAAACCTGTTAATGCTAAAGCTGAAAACTCCAGGAGATCACACGCACCTATTCTCGATAGGGTTCAACCTAAGGCTAAGAGCGGTAACTTTTCCAGCGTTGCTGACGTGAAATCATTTAACACTTCTACACGTTTTACAAGCTCATCCAAAGTCACAGACCGTTTTCCTTTAAGGAGAGATCACCCTCCATCTACAAAGAAAGATAATCTAACAACTAGAAACAGAGACAGCAAGGAAGTCATTAAACCTAAAGATATAATCAGCAAGTTCGAGAACTTTTCTCAAGGCAAAAATAATTCATATGCTGAGTCACCAATAACTTCTGCTAAATCTGAAACTTCTGCTAAAATTATCGAAAGTTCTTTTACAACGGACTTAAAGCTTTCAAAACAAGTCCCATCTCACCAGGAACGATCTGCCGTAACCAAAGAAGCTAGTTTTGACAGCAAGCCAGATAAAAATGTGAACTTATCAGACCAAAAAAGTTTTGAGCCAAAGAAAATGTTAAGCGCAATTGGGAAGTCTTCATCCAATGATGAACTTCTGCAAGAAAGTTTTGTGAAAAACAAACCTCTTGACTGGGTGAAAATCAAATCTGCGGATAAAAGGTTTTCTTTGCAAATCGAAAAAGCTCCGTTTAGCTCTAGAAGATCTGTGTTTGAAGGGCAGGATGATACAACTGCACTGAAGACATTGCTGAAACCAAAGAAAGAGAAGAAGGAAGCAGTGGATGCTGGGAGCTTCAAGAACAAGAAGGAGCTGTTCGAGAGCTTGCAGCAGAAGGCTCAGCTCATCTCTGAGAGCCCGGAGGTGGTCGGTAGTGGTCATAGCAAGAGCCGGGTCATACGTGATAAGTCACCGAGAGGTGGGGTCATAGGGTCAAGGGTCAAGCATGATGCTAAGCCTGAATGGGTGAGTAAAAAGACGTTGAGGAACGTTGGTGCTAGGATGGTGGATTCTGGTGTGGGAAAACATACTGACCAATCAGTGAGTGATGTTCGGATGTCTAAATATACTGACCAATCAGGAAGTGATGCTAGGCTTTCTAAATATTCTGACCAATCTTTACATGATGTTAACAATGTTGGAAAACATTCTGACCAATCAGCGAGTGTTGGAAGTAGGTTGTCTAAATATACTGACCAATCATTGAATGATGATAAGTTGTCTAAAAATACAGACCAATCAATGAGTGCTGCTAGTAGTAATGCTGTAGCAACAGAGAGACATAGTACCGTCACCAAAAACAAAGCTGAAACACATACTCTGGCACCACAGCCAGCAGCAGTGCCATCAGAAGACAAGCCATCTCAGAGAACTTCACCCCCAAAAGCTGGTAATGAAGTTAATATGCCAATAGATGATAAAATCGTGGAAATTTCTGATAAAAAATTATCCAAAATATCGGAAAACATTCAGCAAAAAATAACCACAGAAAGTATTACACAGCAGACATCCATTCGACCAGCTCGATCTAAACCAGACGCAGACGACAAAAACGAATCATCTTCCACACAACCATCAGCTACATCTGCACCAGAGCAGCAGGTCGAAATCCCCAAAACTTCCAAGATTTCAGAGTCATACTTCCCCACGCCAGAGGACAGCGCGGAAATCCCCAATGTGGCCCAGTGGCGAAAATCCCGACTCAGTCGTGCCATCCCTTTCTACCCCACCCACGACAACGAACCCCTCTACCCCACCGATCTCTCCCGATCGCTCGATGACTCCGAGTCAGCTATCTCCACCACCTCCATGTCCTCGTCGGCGTCAGATTTCTCCCACGTCACCAACGACTCCAGCTACGGAAGCGGCGACTCGCGGAAAATTTTCGACAAGGAAAAAATCCGCGCTCGCCGAGACGCACCTGCGCTGGTTACCATGGACGACAATGACGTCACAGCCGTCTCGCAGACAACGCTCACCAATGTTCCAGACAAGACAGAAGTAGACACAAACAGCCAAAGTCAAATTTACGACCAAAATGTCTCCGGAAAATTGAATAAAACAAATTCAAGCTCCGAACTTACAAACACTGAACCTGATAGGAGCACTAGATTGGATATCTACAGAACTAAGTACAGAGAGAATAAATCAGGAGATGCTGATACCAGTTCGGATAAATTAAAAGACGCTGAAAGCAGACGGTCTTATGCCACGGAGAGAAGGTCAAGGTTGAATAAAGAACAGGTCAAGGAGCCCAGTGACCCCACCAAAATCAGGGATGAGCGGCGGGTCAGCTCGTACCTCCGCACCAAGCACAAAGTTGAGTACCTGAACTCCGACTCCAACGAGAGCGACAGCGAGGTCTTGGCCAGGAGGAGCAGGTACCGGGTCTCTAAAAGCGAAGATCAGGGCGGAGCGGATATCCCTGGGGGAGTTAAACGACCGTCCGACCTTGACCTTACATCGGGGTCAAGGCTGGCGAGATTAAGAAACAAAGCGAAATCTTTAGATAACACATCCGGTTCCTTAACTCTCGAGGATAATTCTCTATCGTCTTCCATGGAGTCTCTAGAAGCTAAAACAGCAAGTGTTGCGGGGCCGATGTCTGCGCTAGAGATGGCGTCGTCAGATCAAGGACCGCCGTGCCCGCCCAGCTTCCCCCTGCTACTGTCTAACACCTGCGTCCTGTACGGGTCACGAACCACCCTCCAATGTAAGGTGACAGGAAACCCCGCACCTGATATTAGGTGGCTCATGAACCTCACACCTATCGAGGTAAGGCCCGTTTTACTTCTTACCGCTTACTTTAGATAAAAGTTTTTTTTTCAGTCTTAATTTCGTTTTTTAAATCCTTCAACTGTTCCCTTTTGTGTCCAAGACACACGGGGCCGCCACAGAAAGCTCCCTCCACTTTTGTCGGTCACCTGCTATTTTGTTGGCAGTCCCCCAAGACAGTCCTGACATTGTTAGTTGCTTTTTTTTTCTATTGGCCTCCACGTCTAGCACGGCCTTACCTGTTATTGTCATTGTAAAAATTCAGATTTTTTGTGTCTTAATTTTTTGTTTTGTTTTGCTGTTGTTAAAGTGTTTGGTTGACTTTTTCTAATAAACCGGGAGTGATCTCCCCTAAACTTTCTCGAATATTCTTATATAAAATAACAGGGGATGGGAAGTCGGGCTATAGACATGATTTTCAATCCATTTTAAATACTTAAAGTTTTAAAAATAGAATAAAATCTCTTAGACAAATTAATTGCACACCAAGTGAACGCCAAATAAAAAAGCGCATAATAGTGCGCAATATTATTAGTATTTTTACTTTCTCGTATATACGAAGTATAGAGAAAGTCTTGTAATCGTGCAAAAAAAAAAAATCGAGATTTTTGCAAATCTCGACGTTTTACATCTCACTGATACGGAAAAACATAATTTTGCAATCTTGTCCGTATGTCTGTGTGTCTGTGTGTGTGTGTGTGTGTGTGTGTGTGTCCGTGTGTAAACACGATAACTTGAGTACCGTTACAGCTAGGTTGATGAAATTTCATATACAAGTATTTTATCAAAATCGTAGATCCGTATCAACTTTTGAGCGATTTCGGATAACCGGAAGTGGTACTTTTTCTACTTTGAATTTTTCAAAAGCCTATAACTTGAGTACTATTTCAGATAGATAAATGAAATTTGATATGTAAGAAAAAGATCTAATTCTCTACCTACTGTCAAATTTTGAGAATTTTTCGTTGACCGGAAGTACTTATTTACGCTACTTCCGATTTCTCAAAAAACTAATGTAAATTTTAAAAGTACTAATAATATTGCGCACTATTATGCGCTTTTTTATTCGCGTTCACTTGGTGTGCAATTAATTTGTCTTCGAGATTTTATTCTATTTTTAAAACTTTAAGTATTTAAAATGGATTAAAAATCATGTCTATAGCCCGAGTTCCCATCCCCTGTTATTTTATATAAGAATATTCGAGAAAGTTTAGGGGAGATCACTCCCGGTTTATTTTTAAAATTTACATTAGTTTTTTGAGAAATCGGAAATAGCGTACATTACTACTTCCGGTCAACGGAAATTACTCAAAATTTAACAGAAGGTAGAGAATTAGATCTTTTACTTACATAGGAAATTTCATTTATCTATCTGAAATAGTACTCAAGTTATAGGCTTTTGAAAAATTCAAAGTAGGAAAAGTACCACTTCCGGTTATCGGAAATCGCTCAAAAGTTGATACGGATCTACGATTTTGATAAAATACTTATATATGAAATTTCATCAACCTAGCTGTAACGGTACTCAAGTTATCGTGTTTACACACGGACAGACAGACAGACACACAGACAGACACGCAGACAGACACACAGACATACGGACAAGATTGCAAAATTATGTTTTTCCGTATCAGTGAGGTGTAAAACGTCGAGATTTGTAAAAATCTCTATTTTTTTTTGCACGATTACAAGACTTTCTCTATACTTCGTATATACGAGAAAGTAAAAAAGTACAGTGATATAGCCTATATATTTGTTATATAGGCCTATAAAATATACATTTATTATTTGTATAACATTATGAATGTAGCTAAAAGTTTTAATAAACAGGTAATTAGCAATTATGTCGGGGTTATTTACGAGTTTCTTTTGGCTAAAACACGTCACAATCAAGCAATCAGCTTACGACTTGGTCTAGACGTGGTCTACTTTTATTATTGGGCTAATTTTGAATAGATTAGATTATGAGTTGGAGTTGAAATTGAAATTAAGGTCTCTTTCATATACAACACTTATGTCTTGTCCGGCCTAGTCAATGTAAGCGTTTTTAAATAGGCTGTAAATTAAATGAAATATATGTCCTTTTCGCAGAGAAAAAGTGTTAACTCTTTCTGATCAAAATGTTATTTGCAGGAACAGTAACTCTTAGTATTTTGAAGTAAAGGCTAAATGGTAGTTGTTTCCCTTGATATTTTTTAGTTCCTTTTACATGAACTTGACTTTTACTTTTTAACATCCTAATAAATTGTCTGAACGCCCACAATCTAGGTAGATTATTTTATAATATGAATGCTTACAAATTACTTTTGGTCGCTTTTATATTTCATAAGTGATCTCTACATATTTCTTTTTTTTTTTGGAGTAAAACAAAAATCGGACCAGTTTCCGAGATAACACGCTGTGGGATACCATAAATAATCTACCAAGACGGTATCGATTTTTCACCAAATTACTTTTTATACATGCAGCTTTCTGCAGTATTTCGTCCAAGTGCCATGGCCTTTGACCTTGTATTGCAGTGGTTGAATATCTGGCCCCGTTTATGTGTGTGTTTATCTAATGGGTTAACGTATGAGGTGTGTCAATATGGGAAACATGAACTCGATAGAGCTTCTCACACTGTGTTGTATCGGGTGCCCTTACACTGCTAACTTTGGTACGAGAAAATATACAGTCATTTCTTCTTAATTGTAAAACAAAAGGGGATTTAGTTAACACAATTAAGTATTACGTGTCACCTGGTAATTGCTAGATTTTCTTGCAAAGCCTTTGTCCATCCAAGAAAAAAAACAATTACAAGGCAGCAGTTGTTTGATTTGGGAGTTTTCTCTCCTTGTTGGGTTGCTGCCCCCAGCCAAAGGGCCTCATCATCACGGGGTTTCGAACTCGGGACTTCAGGAGTTAGCAATCCTACGATCTCACTTGCAATCTCACCGTCCTCAAAATAATGTAGAAATATGATAAAGTTTCGACCAAAGGCCTTCGTCAGAAAAAAAGGGGTTGGAGGTTGAGTACGAATTACGAATAGTAACACTAATAACAAACTTGGGGTTAATAGATTTTAAAATATGTCGTGGTAATTTGAGTTAAATTAAAATTATTGTCAATTAACTTCTTCTTCTTCTTCTTCTTCTTCGTTCTTAATTATTAGTGTTGAAGGGGATCGAGATTTATCAGCCAGTGGGTTTGAACTCAAGACTTTGTTCGAATTGATCAACCATGAGCTTTTTGCCGACTCGACCACGCCTCCAACACAATTAAGCGTTACGTGTCAACTGGTTATGCGCCATTGAGGCCATTGACTCCGATTTCAGCCTGTTTTTCTTTTTGGATTTGCTTCCATAGCCTTTGTCCAACCAAGAACAAACTACAAGGCAGAAGTTGTTTAATTTTGGAGTTGTCTCTCCTAGAAGAGTGGCTGTCCCCAGCTAACGAGCCTCATCTGCCCGAGGGTTTGAACGCGAGACTTTTCGGTTTAGCAACCAAGAGCTTTACCGACTCGACCACGCCGACCCCTTCAATTAACTTTGTTAATAAGCGTAACTGAGCAGAATGAGTGCTTTCAATAGAAACCATCGAAATGGTACTTGGGTGAATTGAGGGTGTCGCTTGTTGCTGTATTTGGGAACCACTGAGGTGACTCAATCTTGAGTGATGGGTGGATTGGGGCGTGGGTATGGTCTACCTCGGTTTATTGTGGTAGGATAAACTTGGACTGGATTAGATGGGACGGGGGTAAGGTCTACCTCGGTTTATTGTGGTAGGATAAACTTGGACTGGATTAAATGGGGCGGGGGTAGGGTCTACCTCGGTTTGTTAGGGAAGGATAAACTTGGACTGGATTAAATGGGGCGGGGGTAAGGTCTACCTCGGTTTGTTATGGTAGGATAAACTTGGACTGGATTAAATGGGGCGGGGGTAAGGTCTACCTCGGTTTATTGTGGAAGGATAAACTTGGACTGGATTAGATGTGGCGGGGGTAAGGTCTACCTCGGTTTGTTAGGGTAGGATAAACTTGGACTGGATTAAATGGGCGGTGGTAAGGTCTACCTCGTTTTGTTATGGTAGGATAAACTTGGACTGGATTAGAAGTATTGTTGGTGATCAACACGGACTTATAAAACAGTCGCGCTTGACTGATGGATGTTGACGCATGATTGGTGTAGGTTTACGGTTGAGTGAAGGGGGTTTAGGTTGGGTGGAGGGGGTTTAGGTTGGGTGATGGGGGTTCAGGTTGGGTGGAGGGGGTTTACGGTTGGGTGGAGGAGGTGTTGGTTGGCTCTGATCTAGCTGGGACGAGGGGATTTACGGTACCAGCGGAGTTGAGAGTGGGGTAGAAAAACATTTTAGTGTTAGATTGATGTCGGCGACCCTGTCACAACACAGACGCGCGTGCTTTTGATATGTGAGTCATTCTATGTGAGATTGCTGTTGTTGGTAAACTTTTTTTTAGGGCGGCGTTAGTTTTTTTTTGTCATTGGGTAGGTTTGGAAAAAAATATTAAACATTTTACGTTTTTCTTTTTCGGTTCTTGTCAATTAGCATTACTAGTTTATACATTTCGGTGGCGTTTGTCGATAAAAACATATTGTGAGATTTAGAGCTGGGAGTTAAATCTTAGGCCATACTTTAATTAAGTTGAGGTATTATTGTCTAAGTTAAATTTAGGAATAGTTATCTCAGCTTAGTTTAGGTATTGTTATCCAAGTTTAGTTTTGGCAATGTTACCTAAGTTTAGTGTCGGTATAGTTATCTAAGTTTAATTCACTTATTGTTATCTAAGTTTAGTTTAGGTATAGTTATCTAAGTTACTGACGATATCCATTCAAAGTATCAATTTGTGCTGATATTTTAAGACATCATCTAGAACAAACCTAGCATTAATCTGGGATATTATGTTTGCCCCACTTTTTAACCCTAAATGTGGACTTAAGAATAAGAATAGGAAAAATTCACGTACACACTCTGCCCCCCCCCCCCCCATACCCTCTTTACCCTATGCCTTCACCTTGAAGAACACAGTCCCCACTTCATCCTCTTCCCTAAAAATAACCCCTAATCTATAAAAACCTCCCGTCGTAAAATTTCATTACTTCCTGGATGTAGATTCTTTATTATTTCCAATCACTGGGACTTTAGTGTGCTGTCAAAGGTTGCGTCTATCGTTTAGGGTCAGTGCTCTTTAACATTCTCTAATTCTAAAATGAAATATACTTTTTCTGAAGTATTTGTATTCAGAAATTTTAGTTTATGGGTTATTTATGTAATGATATTAGGACGGTCGAAGGATAGAGCATACGACTGCTAATTCAAAAAGCCTCGAGTTCGAATCTGAGTTCAAGTGAACAGAACGTCCCTGATTCCACCAGCTGCGATGGGTACCTAACTCACGTTAGGAAAAGTAAAGGTGGCTGGGCATAGTGCTTACCACACTATCCCTTTCGCATTCCGAGGTAACAGAAATAGATGAACTCTACTTCATCTTGCTCCATAGACCCTCAGGTTCGAAAGGGAACTTTATTTACTTTACTATTAACTTAATGTTAGGTGTGACTTATTAGCGTCCTGGCGCTTTTTCTCACGCAACTTCAATAACAAATTATTTTACCTTACTATATTTACATTTCATAAAGCCTCAAGCCTTATTTCCATGATGTATACGTACACTCCAGTAAAATACCCACCCATTAATCAAATCTCACGTTACCAATATACTCAAGTAAACTGCGTAGCCCTCGATACCTTACCTCTCACCTCCAATGAACCATGAACCCCCCTCCCCCACCACCAGCACCCTACCAACACCTCCACATTGCCGCCTTCTATCTGTAAGTATCCACCCCCCACCACCCACCCCCACCCCAGCACGACAGCACCCTACCAACACCTACACAATGCCGCCCTCTATCTGTAAGTAACCACCCCCCAACACCCCACCAACACCTACACAATGCCGCCCTCTATCTGTAACCATAGCTCCCCCCTCCCACCCCATCACCCCACCAATACCTCCACATTGCCGCCCTCTATCAATAAGTAAACAGCCCTGATTCAGCAACCCGTCTAACTAGTAAACCAGTTAACATTTGATTGATATTCCCCTCTGCATATAGACTTGCCAGTACAACAGTAGCTCAAATAATACACACAGGCCATGTTTTATCTCTTGTTCTTGATGTATTGTTTTTTTTTATGTATTATCTCAAATGTTTTAGTTCTTGTTATACGAACCGTGTGTGTGTGTGGGTGGGTGGGTTTGTCCGTGTGTTACATACTGCCTATTGATTTGTACAGCCGCGCGGCTTGTTGCTTGTGTCTTTTATTGCCTGTTTGTGTTATTCAATACTCTGTGACAGCCGATATCTAACGAGAAAAAAAAATGTATGTCTGGAAGTCTGTTTACCCGGCTGTCAGGGAATTTTTAATTCAATGTCTCCCCAGCCATTGTCTGCATGTCTATCTGTACATTTTTTTGTGTGGTTATTGTTAGTGCTGCTGACTTGGGGGGAAAAATCAGATAAATATCAAAATACAACAATTTTTATCTGCGTAGTTTGGTTCATTAGTCAATAAATTACTTTGTTCAATTTTATCGGCATATTTTCGGAGGTGGGGGGGGGGGGGAGTACTTGTCGAAATTCAACAGGGCTGCTTCTTTGTTAGATAGTTACCTTATCCATAAACTCTAACTCATACTCTAACGCTTGCTGCGATAACGGTGGGGAAAAATAATAGATTCTGTACTACATTGTCCTGCCCATTAAAAAAAGTATTTTGTTTCATAACTATGGTCTATAAATTTTCATTTATTTCCTTGGAAATTCGCGAGTTAACTTAACCAACCCACGGGAAGCTACTCCCATCTTCTCTTATTATTAATCAAAAGTACAACCGCCAGCTTCTCTCCCTTCCCACCCACCAAGCTTATCAAATCCAGCCAATGCTCGATGGTGCTGAAGAAATCGAAAGTTCGGAAATTCCCGATGGACATGCGCTTGACGTTGCGTGACTGAGTCGACCTTTGAGTGTTCTTATATAGACGTTCACAGAATGAGTTCACTTTGATGATTGCGTGATTGAATTTGTGTTTATTTATTTAACATCAGTCAGCATAATAATATGTCGATGTTTTGTCAACTTTTTTTTTGTTTTCAATCGAAAACTTAACGGTTCTTCACAAGTTAAGGCGGGCATTGAACTCTTCAGTACGACGCATGTTGGGAAGTGTTTATGTAGGGTAACATAGGCTTTTGTCATTCAGCTAACAGATAGTTATTTTTAAATGTTGTGTTGTTGAGATGGTTAGTGTTTGAGTTCATATTACGGTTTGGTTAGGATTACGAGTCACCATAATATTTTCAATACCCTAACATGCCAAAGGTACGCGTATAGTTATGTTCAAGTCGAGAGAGATTTGTTGTCGATGTGATGGGTTAGGTCTCTGGGTTGGGGTTATGGATTGACTGACTAACACTCACAGTATCCAAAGCTACTACTATAGCATTTTGTGTTGCTTGAATTTTGTTTAGCAAATCTAAATGAAAGATTTAACCGAAATATTTTCAGTGCAGTATTTTGCATTTTTATCAGTCGTGTTGATAGTTACTAGAGTGGCATGCGTAAGGATATATGTGAATGACACGTGCGAATGACATGTGGTTGACGGTGATCTGAAAGATGCGTAAAGGAAACTGCGCAACGGAAAACTGCGCACAAAAAAGCACCAGGGCATTTTGTTTTCTTAAATCGAGCATTTATAGAAATTTAAAAAATCAGCAAAGAGTGCCTACATGTACACTTAAGCATAATAAAACATATTTCCACGAAATAGGACGAAATCAAAGTGAATTAGTAAAATTAGTTTGTATTTGCGCATTTTTCTGTTTGCGCATTTTCCATTTCGCAGTTTTCAGTAGCGCACTTTTCCGTTGCGCATTTTTCTGACAATCGTGGTTGACGTATGTAAATGGCATTTGTGATTGACATTTTTTGACTGACATACAAATGCCATGTGTAAATGTCATGTGATTGACATGTGAGACTGACCTTTGCCCATTCCCTGTCCACAGCCCACCCACAACATCGAGGTGAGCTACGAGCAGGGCGTGGCCCAGCTGGTCATCCTAGAGACGTACACGGAGCACGTGGGTGAGTACTCCTGCTGGGCCAGGAACCCCTACGGGAGCATCTCCACACACTGTCAGCTGACCCTCAGCGGTGAGTCTCACGTTTTTTACATCGTGGTCCCTAGTCTTAGTTAAATCATAGGCTGCTACATTGTAATCAATGGGTCTCAGGTTTTTTTTTTACATCGTGGTCCCTAGTCTTAGTTTAGTTATAGGCTGCTACATTGTAATCAATGGGTCTCACGTTTTTTACATCGTGGTCCCTAGTCTTAGTTAAATCATAGGCTGCTACATTGTAATCAATGGGTCTCAGTTTTTTTTTATCGTGGTCCCTACCCTAGTTTAGCCATAGCCTGCTACACTGTAGGCAATGGGTCTCACGTTTTTTACATCGTGGTCCCTAGTCTTAGTTTAGTAGTTATAGCCTAATATACTGTAATCAATGGGTCTCACTTTTTTTACAACGTGGTCAATATCCTAGTTTAGTTACAGCATGCTACACTGTAATCAATGGGTCTCACATTTTTTACACCTTGATCCCTACCCTAGTTTAGTCATAGCCTGCTACAGTGTAATCAATGAGTCTCACGTTTTTTACATCGTGGTCCCTACCTAGTTTAGTTATAGGGCTGCTAAACTGTAATCTTTTTGATGTTCATTTTATTAATTTTTTCTTTAAAATTTATGGTTGAAACTCACATACTGTAATATTTGAGTTCTGATACTGTATGAATATCTTGTAGTCCTATCTTTGAAAGAGCCACACTTTAAATATCAACACATAATCTTCCTTATATATCCGCCGGGCCAAGCTAAAAACTAAATTAAGACTGAGTTTACTAAGACGAGTTACTTCCCCTGTCGAGTTATGCCCCTTGAATGTGCGGGCAATTTAAAATTTAGATCAAGCTTAGCCTTAATGTAAATAAGTCATGACCTGGACACATTAATTACAGGTTCGATATTAGCGCGTCTCATTAGAGCAGTGAAACTTAAGCATGGAAAAATAATGTCCGTTAGTTATAGCTACAAAACATCACCGAATAAATAGTTAACCAAATAGTTTAGATCTGCCTCTCGTTAATACTTTTAACTACGTAAATTTGATTTTTATCTGAATTAAGTTAGAGTTTAATGCAATAAAGTTATGGCGATATTTTGATGAATTATAAAAAAAAATATTCTACTGTAGCTGTATGATCAACGTCATTATTTTATGATACACTTATTACGAATACAATACTCTGCTTTATAAAATTTATTTCACATTGACTAAACCTGCCACTGACCAACCATTTCACACACCGAACCACCCACTGACCAACCCTCCCACTGACCAACCCTCTTACTGACCAACCCTCACACTGACCAACCATCCCTCTGACCAACCTTCCCTCTGACCAACCCTCCCATTGACCCCCCCCCCCCGCCCCCCACACACTGACCAACCCTCCCGTTTACACACAACTCTCCTCTTCTGCCAGTATCATCACGAGCCGAGGGCCGAGCCTTTGAGGGTCCCGTGTCCCAGGCCCCACGTGTCGTCTCCCTCTCCCCTCCCAGCGCCTCGGTCCTGTCTGGCACCGTCCTACAGTTCACCTTGACCTACCTGGGAAACCCCGCCCCCTCTGTCAAGTGGTTACTCAACGGGAGAGCTCTGAAGCCAGGTAAGATTTGAAACATTTGTTTATGTAACAAACCTAATCTTTATTGCCTGTGAATCATCTATGTAACAAATCTAATCTGTATTGTATGTGAATCATCTGTTTATGTAAGAAACTTCATCTGTATTGGCTATGAATCGTATGTGATTGTGATACCAATCTAATCATTATTGTCTCATATTAGCCATCTTGTTGTTTTACCTTGAGCAGTTATATCACTCTATCTCCTTTGTCTTTTTAAAAATATTTGGGAAAAATAATGAAATAATAAAGAAGATATCAGAAGACTGTATAAATTAAGTCCATAAGGCGCAAGAGTGAGAATAGAGGTCAAGTTTACAAATTATTGTCTTTGGGTAGCTAAATTAATTTCCAGTGAATCAATGAATCTGACTTTTAAACATTAATACTTGCGGTTGTTTAAAATAATAAACTTTGAACGGTTCCGTATCTTAAGAACTGATTGACCCCAGTTAAACGCATGAAACGTCTCCCAGATATATATGTGTGGGTATGGTGTTATGAACTTTGAATCAGGTGAGGCAAGCCGTAAGGGAGACAAGTGGGAGGTCAAGGTCCACTTGATGTTCTTTGTACGCTCAAGTGGTCAGTTGGGAGCGTGTGGGGAGGTCAATGTGGGTGAAGATGTGCCACACTAGAGCTGACGTTTTTAAAAATATCTAGTCCACGTTTTGTAGCTTCATGCTAAAGCAGACGGTTCAACTAATGCTGAGATCACATTTCGGTCAAATTGAAAAGTTTTCAAACTTAAAAAAAAAGAGAATATATATTTGTATATGTATATATAAAAATTGTAGTCTCGCTTTTGATTGATAGTACCTTTAATCTATCAATCATCCCTTAATCCTTGGGATTGTGGGTGCACCACAGTTGACTATTTCATAATTTTCTATCATCTGTCTCGGTCCTCTGCTGCTTTGTTTAGTTCTGCAAAAGGCAGTCCACGATAATTTTTTATGTCCTCCATCTAATGACGTATTTACCTCCCCCCTTCTCTTCTCCCACCTGGCGCAGCGCCAGGTATTATTGTTTTGGATTGGCCATTGGTTCGCCGTAAAACAAATTTAAAAAAATAACTGTCAAAAGAAATTTAGCTGTTTGAAATTGAACCTTGACAGCGCAGAAGTAAAAAAAGAACAATCACCAAATCAGCGCAACTCCTCCATACAGTTCTCTCAAGTAGTGGGCTACAAATCTCAAGTAGGGTCCAGCACACCTCTTTACGTGGTTGTATCACATGACTCCCCTACGCTACAACTTTGTGGTTGTATCCTTGGGTTCTCCCCTGTACGAGGCCGCTAACTTTTCACATTGACGAGATTGTAATATGGGATATTACATTTTACACTGACATTTCTCATTGCAGGGATTCGCATTGTGTTTTCTTTACCTACGATTGTCAAGTACACTTTAACTAAACGGGTATTTTATAGAGCTTTATTTTAGTTGTATCGTTTTATTTATTTGATTGTTTATATTTCGTGTGTTGCATATTACCCGTGTTGGTTTTTACAATTAGGAAAAAATATATGAGTCATTATTGTATTGATTCTTGAATTTTATTTCCGGGTACACTGACTTAATGATTAAGTTTCGGATACTTAGTAAATCTTCTAGCAGGAATAGCAATATGATTTTTTTAGGTTTCCTGTTAAGGTTTGAAAGACAAAAAAAACAACAACAAACAACGATTACAGTAATTTCTCGTGAAGCTAGCTTATAAGTTGAGCATTTTTATCTTTGTTTACCTATAGTTTATCTAGCTTACGATTTATCTTAAAAGTTCGATATTGATTTAATATTGTGTATTCCTCTGTCATACTCAATATGATACATATACCATCAGTGGCGTAGTCAGTATTTTGGTACGGTGGGGGGGGGGGGGGTCACGCCAACCACTTGTCTTCCTATAGTGAACACCCTCCACCTGAAAGGGTTGTTACTTTATAGAACCTGTATCGATATTTTTGAATTCGCTCTACAGATCTTATTGTAAGTTATACATGGGACGGCGTGGCTTAGCGATGGAGCGCTAGACTGCTATCCCGATAGTTTCGAGTTCGAATCCGGGTTCAATTTAGTGGAACGTCCCTGAGTCCACCCAACTCAGGTTAGAGATAGTAAAGGCGGCTGGGCATAGTGCTGACCACATTATCCCTTTATATGCCGAGGTCGAGAAACATGAACACCACTTCATCTGCCCAACTTATCGTTAGGTCTAACGAGCAATCTTTATCTGACATGTACAGAACTCTATAACTTTCTAAAACTTCTGGCCTCTGTAGACGATATATTGCTGCCGACTTACGTTCTTACACCACTGACTATACACGTTTAGAATGGCTGTTGATGTTCATGTACTCACTTTGTTGCTGTTGTTGTGGGTGTTGACGTTGTTGATGTCGAAAGTTCACCAGCCTACGCGATGTAACCTCTAGCCTTTGTTGACAAAAGTTTTTGACGAAAAAAAAACATGTCGGCGAATGTTGTTTTTTTCGCGAGTCAGCAAGTTCGTCACATCTTACCAAATGTCATTATATTGTTGACATCCTACAAAATGTCAACATCTAGCAAATGTCATCCTTATGTCAACAATTGAGCTAGCTGTGTCTGATACAATTCTTTACACTTTAGGCCCAGAGTTTCTTCCAGGCATCTCTGCGGGGGAGCGGAGCCCCCCCCCCCCGAAGAAAGTCTACCGCCGCTCCGCCCCCCCCCCCCCTCCGAACGTAATGAAATGTATATAGAAAATATATACTTTTAACAGTGTCCGCCCCCCCCCCCCCCCCGAAGAAAGTCTACCGCCCCCCCCCTCCTCCCCCCACCCCCGGAAATTTCAAGTGCCCCCTGGAGAAAAAAGTCTCGAAGAAACACTGTTTAGGCCTATTTTATTGTTCTAACTAAATCTAAATTTTAGCCGTTATTTTCCGTGTTAAACCTAAATTAACTGATAAGAGATAATCTTAACCTTAACTACACAAAGTTCCCAGGAAAGTTACCTAAATTTGATTGTAAATTCTTCTTGGCAGTTTTATGAGGACAATTTTAATACTTAAAAACACATATACAAAGTAAAAAAAGAAATAAGGGGGCAGCACTCTAGCATACTGTATTATTAGGCAACGCTATGTAGCTTCTAACTTGTAACGTACATGATGTAAAGTGCGTGATTGAAGCCTACATCGAAATGAATAGGCGGGGATCCGTTGATGTATCTATCTGCCCTGCACGCGAGGGAGCCATATCTAGTTGTGTTCAATGACGTCACTTCCTGTCCAGAACTCGACGCGAGCCATATAAAAGATACGTGTGGGAGGATGGCGGCTGTCTTTCTTGTGGAGCGATGGCATATTTCTGGGACCGGGGGTCGACGAGGGTTAAATTATGACGTGAGTGATGGAGTTCATGCCAATTGTAAGTGCAGTGAGATTAGATGTAGAGTTTAGAGTGCAGAGATGGTTTGGACTTTTGAATGTTTTTCATACACAGTTTTATTGACCGGCTTGATAGTATGAAGGTTTAAATAAACGCTTATGTTAGCATATTATTTCGTAACTCAGTAGACTATCGGTAATATTTTCATTAAAAATTCAACTACAGCTGTTTTAAAAATCGAATTTTCAAGCTTGAGTTTTTAAAATGAAATAATATTTCCTTTTAGGTGTTTAGTATTTTTTTTAATGGAGTTTAAGCTATGCCCTATATAATATGGGAGATAGATTGAGTCTAATACCCCACTGGAGAGTTTGTGATTTTGTAGGCCAAACTCTATCCATCATTCTTTATCAATTTGTTATCACAAAAACAAGCTTAAAAACGGGATAACTCTTCGCTGATAACAACGCGACCTAGAGTTGTCTATCTTTTTCTGTTGTAGTTGTGTTGGATGGTTTACTATACTGAATAAACTCGGATCCTGCTGGTATGTAGATCTAGATATTATTACTAGTAAATATTCGTATTTCTTAGCTCATGGCAAGATACAGTATTATATATGTATATATGTATATGTAATGTATGTTGGTGTATGCATACATCTCTCACTCCCAACACAAGTATGTAATTACTAGATCTACTCATTATCGATATAATTCTAACAATGTTTTAAAATATCGAACCTTCGGTATTTTTCCGTTAAAAAGTATGTTCATCTGTCTATCAGTGAGCACTTCTTGCAGTTTAGCGAACTGTCCATGATATAGACTATTATAGGCATGTAGACGGAACATGGAAATATATATACATCATATGAGAAGCGTAGATGAGTGGGGTAGAGAGTTTCAGGGTCTCTGCGGTCCACAGTTTTCTCCCCCCCCCCAATGAAACAGAAACAAATTTATTTATATAGAAAATAAAAACTATAATCAGTGCCCCTACATATCTTCACGTGTTATACAGTAGATCTAGTTGTGTGAGTGCATTCGATATGTCGGTTGTTTATATTTGACACGTGATGTGTTCCTCCAAATCTTCACGTGCCATACAGCAAATCTAGTTGTGTGAGTAGATTCAATAAGTCGAGTGTTTACATTTGACATGTGATGTGTTCCTACAAATCTTCAGTAGATCTAGTTTTGTGAGTAGATTCAATAAGTCAAGTGTTTACATTTGACACGTGATGTGTTCCTACAAATCTTCACGTTGTGTGAGTAGATTCAATAAGTCAAGTGTTTACATTTGACACGTGATGTGTTCCTCCGTATCTTCAGTAGATCTAGTTGTGTGAGTAGATTCAATAAGTCAAGTGTTTACATTTGACACGTGATGTGTTCCTCCATATCTTCACGTGTTATACAGTAGATCTAGTCGTGTGAGTAGATTCAATAAGTCAAGTGTTTACATTTGACATGTGATGTGTTCCTCCACATCTTCAGTAGATCTAGTTGTGTGAGTAGATTCAATAAGTCAAGCGTTTACATTTGACACGTGATGTGTTCCTCCATATCTTCACGTGTTATACAGTAGATCTAGTTGTGTGAGTA